TGAAACAAAAGAAACCTTGACTGCACAGGAGACTTAACATAGAAAAATAAAAAAATATAAATGAAACTTTAATCTGTAAAACAGAGGGGGCAAGAAGAATCCCCCAGATTTATTTGGGAATGCCTGACAGGTTAGCAATGACCTCTGAAGTAACTTCTTGTTTATCCCTCAATCCAAAAATCCATGTTCATATCACATACTTCTACTATAGGTTTTGGAAATGAGCCAATGGTCGATGAGATTTCTGTGCTGGTGACTAGCATTCATAAAAAAATTCCCAGATTCCTGCCTTCAACCAGCATATTGATTATTTGACATCAAGCAGACTACATGGGCATCATCAGAACTCTGCAAACCCCTGGATGGAACAATTAAACATCTTTCAGAATTACAAATCAAACAACATTTTATATTTTCTCAACTTTAGCTAATGTTGAAACAGGAAGAGACAAAAAAACAGGTAATTGTTGCTGTCCGCAATAGTATGCTCTTGGTAAGAAAAAAGATGAATGCAACTACAGTTTTCATCAATCATATGTTCATTAATTTTTTGTTGGCCTCACCAAAATGGGTACAACTGAATCAACATTTTAAGAACAACAACAACAAAAAAAAATCAAATTAAGGGAGAACTTTATGTTCAGTTAAACCATCTGGGTTAAGAACAAAGAAATGCCTCTTGTCAATGAGGACAATTTGAAGACCCCCTCCCAACCAGGAAAAAGAAAAAAAACCTAACCAGGAACTGGAATTCTAGATTTAGTAAGACAGATTGCATGAGATACAAATAAATTATACTTCTTTACAAGAGCCAAACTGGATAGAATTTATTATTGAATCCAGTTGCTAAAGACTTAAGAAACTAAATATGCACATAACTCCTATATCTTAGATATTTCTAGAGAAACCTGGAATCTAAGACAGCAACAACTAAGAAATATGGCAACTAAATTATAGAACATCACTCAATTTTATGGTGGGATTTACAATATGAGGAAAGAACTAACTGATTTGTTGGAGGGGCTAGGGGATGGATATGGAAAGGTATGCACAGTTAAACCACAGATCTTAAGGAAAAAATTGCTTCAATTAGTTCTCTCTTGCTAAGATGAAATGAAAATAAAAACCAGATGTAAAAATGGCACCCACGTGATATTATGCACATTATGGCAATAGTAGTAATATGCCATTCTTCCTTCTGAATGTGATCACATGCTTTGTTTTACACTAAGGAAATCAGATATGTAAAAGCCAAATTCTGCTTTTTCAAATATTGCCAGAAAGTTAAGAGCCAGACCAGGGTATCCTCCAAGAATACCCTAATCAGCAAGCTCCAAAGGAAAAGAAGAGTTCTCAACCGCTGCTTTCACAACAACTTCCTGAATCCCTGCGCCATATTTCTGGAGCCTCTCAAACTATTCTGACTCGAGTACATGTATCATCCTAGGCTCATGTGCCTACCGATTTAGCACCTCAGAGTTGCCATAGTCAGCAAGTCACAAAGTCTGCACTTTCGATTTGTTTGGGAAATTGTTTTCTTGACCAAAATTTTATAAATAAATAAAAAAGCCTCCAAAGGAATTTTTTTAAATATATCATGCCTTCAGCAAATAACCCTTCCTTTTGCTGTGAACCCTCCCACCTGGCATGTTCTTTTTTTTTTTTTAATTTTATTTTTTTATTATTTATTCATGATAGTCATAGAGAGAGGAGAGAGAAGCAGACACAGGCAGGAGAAGCAGGCTCCATGCCGGGAGCCCGACGTGGGACTCGATCCCGGGACTCCGGGATCGCGCCCTGGGCCAAAGGCAGGCGCTAAACCGCTGAGCCACCCAGGGATCCCCTGGCATGTTCTTTCTATACTTTTCATATGATCCAATGGCATACTGTGGTACTCTTTTCACTGGATGGTCAATCCACCACTTCTTCTCGGTTGACATCCCACCCTCAGGATGCTACAAGCCGCCTTAAGGTAGGAGATGAAGCCACACACCAGTCTGGACATTCAATGTCACCTACCACAGCATCCCCCACAAAACAAGCAGGCATTCAAAGATGTTTTGATGGCTTGTGCAGGGCTGAGTGAGAGACTTAAATGCACACAGGAGGCTTGGGGCCTGCAATACAATATGGAGTCGTGGATACTGTGGCAAATTGGGGAATTGGTGCTCTGCAGAAAGCAGCAGTTGCTACTCAGATCAATCCTGTAGCTTGCCAAGCAAGGATTCAGGTGTCCTGTTGCCAGATGCTCTAATTTCTCAAGAAAAACTAGAAATGTAGACATTTATGTGGATTCACCCAATTTTGAAATGCCAGCTAAAAAAATTGTAAATCCTATGTGAGCTAAAGGAAACCCCCATGGGAGTCAAATTTGCCCTGCAGGCTACCAATTCTCAACCTCCCGCTGTCTAATGGTGGCCTGCTCTGGGCCTCTGGCCCTTTCTGCCTCATTCACAGGTCCTCTTCCTCCTCCTGTCCCTCACCTGTGGAATTGGCCTTCCTTCACGCTCCTTCTGGATGTGCTTTCTCTCTCTCCCCGGAAGCATCACAGCACTTTGCCTCTGTGGGGCTCTCTAGTGTGCTCATCTGTCTTTTTTTGTTTTTTTTTTTAAACCTGTGTTGTCTTGTACCACAGTTATCTACATATATTCTGTGCCTCCTATAGGGAAAGGTGTTCCTTAAGTCACTTATTATTATAATAATAACATCATTGGTTGAGTTTTGTCAGACACAGTGCTGAGCACTTTATGCAAATCGACTCATCCATCCTTTAAAAGAGCCCTGAAGAATGATGTTGTTATTACTACCGTACAGATAAGGAAACTTAGGGTTCAGGATGCTTCTAATGAATGCCCAAGGCCTCAGAGCTACTAAGTGGAAAAAGCCAGAACTCAAAGTGAGGCTTTTTGACTCCGCAGTTCTACATTCGCCTGACTTGTCTTTCAGTACTCTACAATTCCTACACAGTGGGCACTTGATTAATACTGCTGAACCAATTGCTGAAAAACGGAAATTCATATTCCACTTAAAAGACATTCTTTCATAAGGAGCGTAGAGAAAAATTACTGATGAGTTAATGGTTTGCAGAAGGGTTAAAAATAAAAATAATGTGGATATGCACTATGAATATTTGTGGTTCAGCAACAGATTGGAGCCCATTCATCAACTGCATAGATATGCAAGGCTTAACCAAGATACTTTTCAGTGGATTTATCCAAAAGGAATTCCAATCCAAAAATAATATCTGCAAAATAATTTGCCATGTTAGCATTTCTGGCCTGAAAATTCAATGCACAATGCTGGTTTTAGTTAGAAATGAGAAAACGCCAAGAGGAAATGGAACAAAAGCTCAAAAGTCTTTTTTTTTTTTTTTTTACATGCAAGGAGCATTATTTCTTTTCATCAACTATGATGTTACATTTCTGTTTCTGCATCCAACAAAAGTCCTAAAATGCAAGAGTCTCCAACCATATGTTATTTCACATAAAAATATATAATCTCAGTATGTGACAACTAAGTAATATACTGGCTGGTTTTCCCTTTTAGTATCTTTTAAATATTTTTCTGAACTATAAATGTGAACTCTGAAAATGTGACTTAAATGACAATGACAGGGTGCCTGGGTGGTTCAGTTGATTAAGCACCAGCTCAGGTCATGATCCCAGGGTCCTGGGATTGGGTCCCTCATCAGGCTCCCTGCTCAGTGCGGAGTAGGCTTCTCCCACTACCCTTCTGCCCCTGCTCATGATCTCTCTCTCTCTCAAATAAATAAATTAAATCTTTTAAAAATTGATAACAGAATATTACCATAGTCATTTTATTTAAGCCCTACTGGCTAAGCAAATCTCTAAATGCTCACTCGCTCCATAAAGAATAACATTTGACCATCATGAAAAAGATATTTCCTACCTTTAGGATCATTACTCAGCTTTGGGATCTCAGCTACCCTTGAAATCCAACAATGATAACAACAACAACAAAATCAGCTGTAACACAAAAAGAACAGAGTATCCCTGAACAATTTAATTCCCTGTCTTGGCTTCCACCTTTTGGGAAATGGCACCTGGTGACATAAATAAACTAGTGATGTAACTAGTGCCAAAGCCCTGGAGAACATCTTAACATTCCTCTTTTCCCTTGAAGCTGTTTCAACTAGCCCAAAACCAGATCCCCAACCTTCAATTAAAGACTCACTATAAAGCAGAATTATTACCTATAGAATGCTTATTTTTAAATCTTTTTTAGAACCAAAAAAAAAAAATCACATGCATCTAAGATTGTACTGAAAATGATTTGGTGAAATGTCTTCAAAACCAGTAGAAGTCCAGTAACAAAAGACCAACCATTTTCTCTCTGGGTGAAAACCACTACTCAACTCCGAGCTAAATCCCATGAAGCATGGACGGGTGAAAAAGACAATTTTACTTCTACAAGGCTGTCATAACTCTTCTGTTTTTCTAAACAGGTATTCTTTGATTTGAGAGAACTATCAAGAGAGGAAAATACATTTATTTCAAAGTCCTCAGAGGAGAGAGGTCAACATAAGGAGCTTCACTGCTTAATGTTAAATGAGAAGAAGAATCTGGCAGTGTAAGGAACAAGCAGCTGTCACTGCTGAGACCTAGAACAGAGGATTTTAAGAAAAATAAGGCTCTTAAAGGACAAACGAGCACTCTATCAATTTTCTTCTCTGTCCTGCCTCCTGTTCATGATAAAGAATTAGCTTAAATCATAAGGATATAATACCATTAAAATAAATATTTCCTAAGTGACCTCTCCCAGCAAATTATCAACTAACAGAAAAATGAAGAGGAAGTGAAGTCACCAAAGAAAAATACACACAATATACGCACTTCTGGAAACTACTATCACTGCATTTATAATCATGGAAAAGGCATTTGGGAAGAAACTTCTTTAGTTAACAAGCAGATTGTCAAATTATGTGAACTTGTTTTAGCACACAAACCTGTACCGTCTGCGTGCTCTTAAATTAAACCTACCTGGTCACTCTGGTTTTCAAGTTTCAGAGAGAAGCCAGAACTTGTTGGTGAGGCTGCGGAAAGTTCTTGGAGCTTTGTGTCTATTTCAGCAAGCTGCTGGTGCTGGGTGATTGCAAGTGTGTATCCTTCTCCTGGGACCAGCCAGCCAGACTCATCACCCTAAGAGGAAACAAGCGTCACCAGGCCATTCCCATGCTATGTTTCTTGCAAAATATCCCTTCCAGACTGCTATGTCAATGCTCATCACACACACGTGCCAAAACAATACAGAAAACACAAAATTAACATTTGGATAGTGAAAGAAAAAAAGTAAATAGTTTCCAGTTTCATTATCTGCCATATCTGTATAAAGTATATTTTGCATTTTGCAGGATTTTTCCCTGTGGAATAAATCTCTTGGCCTTATAGTCTGGTTCTTATAACATTTTTCCACTTTGAAAAGGTGGTTTCTGATACATCGTATAGGAAGAAATCACGTTTACCCTATAACGGACATGGTATTTTCAAGATTTGTCCCTGAAAGGTAACATAGAGTGCATAAATACAGTTTTTTTGGATTTCGTGAGTTTAATTGGTCATCTAACTCCTTATTCAACTAATATTTGTTTCATAATGGGTTAAAACCCATTCATAACATTCATTCAAAAATCTTATACTGAGCACCCACTGTGCATAAGCATTACATAGGCACTGGTGATTCAAGATGAATCTCATAAGCTCTGCCCTCAATAAGTTCTCGGTCTTTTGACAACAAAGATTTTACCAAGTTATGAAGACTGCTGGTGAGCCCAAGGTGTCATGGGGATCTGTAAGGGTCAACTAACACTTGTGGACAAGAAGGAGCAGAGAGACAAAGTGGTCAGAGAAGGCTTCCTGGAGGAAATAATCAATCTTAATCATCTTAATCAGGGAAACAACATGATTTGTTATGCATTTAAAACTAGAGCTGGTGGGGTCCTGGGGTGGCTCAGTTGGTTAATCGTCCAACTCTTGATTTCAGCTCAGTCATGGTCTCAGGGTCCTAGGATCAAGCCCAGCATATCCCTCTCTCCCTCTGCCCCTCCCCCTACTCACACATGTGCACTCTCTCTAAAATAAATAGACCTTTAAAAAAAAGAGAGAGAGAAGCAAAAGCCATAATCTAGAACAAAAATGATAAGCACCTCAACTAAGGAATATTTCCTAGGAATACAGAACATAGGACAGATTTCAGAGATACTTTTTTTTTTCAGAGATACTTAAGAAGTAGAATTTACAGAATCTAGAGATAATTTGATAGAAGAATGAAAGGAGGTGTAAGGATCAAAGATAAAAACCGAATACTGGATTTTGAGAACTAGAGGTATAGTAGTCCTATTGACCAAACAAGGGAATACAAGAGACATAATAGGTTTGAGGAGGAAAATGATGAATTCTTTTGGGACCATTTGATATTCACAGAAACCCCTAGGATAGCCACAGATTATGTTAGGTAGTTAAATATATTTGTCTGAAGTTTAAGATAGAGACCTAGATTGGAAATAAGTATTATGGACTCACCAATGTATCTATAGTAGCTCAAATCCTTGAACCATGGGAATGGATGTGGTCACATAGAGAAACATGTAATATAAGGACAGAAGAATCATGAAAACATTAAAAATAAAGGGCCGGGGGGTGGGGCAAGGAAGTTTAAGAATTTCATACACTTTGGTTTCATAACTCTAATACCAGGAATCAATCTCTAGGTGATAACCAGAAGAGATACAAGCAAAAACTTACACAAAAAGAATTACATATGTTCCTCTAGCCCCAGCATCCAATTGCCCTTCCTGTCACAGTGAAACCAAACACTGCATGAGATTTAGTAGGAGACAGGTCCCTACCAGACCCTCCTTCTCCCTACCCACTGGCATCAAGAAGATAAGCAAATGACCTAGAATTAGAATTAGCCAGTCAGAGTGAACACCCTGGACTTTAGGGAAAGAGAGGGAATTACAGTGTGCACGGGAAATAGGGTGGGGATTAATGGTGACAGCAGTGACCCTGGGGATCCAATGTTGGTAACAGTGTTGGTGAGGGTGGCAGCAGTGATGCAGCGGGGGTGTCTGGTGGCCATGATGCAACCCCTAACCAGCCTGTTTCTAAAGACTTTCTACAGTTATGTTTCTGGGTACCTTAATATCCTCCTAGGTTACAAATCTGGCGCTCCAAACTTCCCACCAAGTCTGTGAGCTATCCAAGTCTCCCAATATGTCTATTCTGTTTTTTTCATTGAAGTCCATCTCTTTTTCTTGCAACTCAGAACACTGACTTACATGTTTGCCATGTCATTTGTAATAAAAAATAATTGCAAATAGCTCAAATGTCTAAAAGTAGGGAAAAGTGAATAGCTTGTAGTATATACATACAAGGATATGATATAGTAATAAACAGTTTAAATATCCTTGTAAGTTGGTATATAAAAGTTATATATAACTTTATACTTTATTATACATAAGAAAATATTCAATTAGTCACAAAATTTTTTTTAAATCCAGTTAATTTTTCCTATATAAAAGGGATATAAATACTGTATGATCTAAATGAGGAATAATGAGTCACATACACACACAAAAAAACTATGGAATCAATGACTAAATATTTCGTTAATATACTTTAAATTTTTGTTTGAATGGAATTCTTTTTCAATGACACTGAAAATAAAAGAGCATGTCAGATTAAATTTGACAGAAATGTAAATGTTTCATGCAGTATACTGTTATAGAAGGAAATTATATATAATATATAGTAGTTGGTATCATGGTTTTCCATCTAGCACCTTCCAGACACCCTTGCTAGGTATGGGAAATTTCTAGCTTTTAGAGGTCTTGCCTCCCTAAGATGGAACCCAGAAGATGCTCTACCCTCCTTTATAGTGAGGGCTCAGCCTGGTAACCAAGGGTCTGCAACCAAACCCATGCATTCAACATTAATTTTTTTTAAGATTTTATTTATTTGAGAGACACAGAGTGAGTGAGAGCGGATGAGTGGGATGAGGGGCAGAGGAAGAAGCAGATTCCCCCTGAGCAGGTAGCTCCATGTGGGACTCGATCCTGGAACTCCTGGATCAAGACTTGAGCCAAAAGCAGACACTCAACCCACTGAGCCACCCAGGCACCCTCTACACTGATTTAGATGTGAATAATATGAGATACAACACAAAACCCATCTTAGCAGTAAAGGGATCTGGCTTTGGGGAGTGCCATTCATTTGCAGGTATAAATTCCCAAAACAGAAAGAAATCTTTTAGGCGCATCTTCCTGGCTTGGTCAGAAAAGTGTGCAACTCTTGAATTGGTTGTGAATTTGAGCCCCATGTTAGGTATAAAGATTAAAAAAATAAATTTAGGGACACCTGGGTGGCTCAGTGGTTGAACGTTTGCCTTTGGCTCAGGGCATGATCCCAGAGTGCTGGGATCGAGTCCCACATCAGGTTCCCTGCATGGAGCCTGCTTCTCCCTCTGCCTGTATCTCTGCCTCTCTCTCTGTCTCCGTGTCTCTCATGAATAAATAAATAAAATCTTAAAAAAAAAAAGGATATATTAGATGGGAATGCCTAGGTGGCTTAGTAGGTTAAGCAATTCCCTTTGGCTCAGTTCATGATCCCAGGGTCCCAGGATGGATCCCCACATCGGTCTCCTTGCTCAGTGGGAAGCTTGCTTCTCCCTCTCCCTCTGCTGCTCCCCCTGCATGGACACTTTCTCCCTCTATCAAATAAATAAATAAAATCTTAAAAAAAAAAAAAAGAATATAGTTGATGGATCCCTTTCTCAAAGTGTTCCTACATTCTTCCCACCATACTTCCTGTCTTCCTCCTCTGAATCTATTCCAGCATGTGCCAGGAATTTATAGAATTTCATGAAATGCCTATCCCTCATGCCAAATAATAAGAAAGGATCCTCTTTCTCCTTACAATACATTCAGAAAAAACTCTCAGCAAATATTAGTTTACAAAACAACAAAACTATAAAAATAAAAACAATCTCAAAAGAGGGCTACACAGCTAGTAGCAGAAGACACATGGTTGAAAACTATGGAATGAGCTCATCTGAGCAAAATGACTTAAAAGATGAAGATTATGAGAAAAATATTATAAGACCCAGGAGAGAGGGACACCTGGGTGGCTCAGTGGTTTTCTGCCTTCAGATCAGGTCATGATCCAAAGGTCCTGGGATTGAGTCCCATATCAGGCTCCCCACGCAGAGCCTACTTCTCCCTCTGCCTCTCTGTGTCTCTCATGAATAAATAAATAAAATCTTAAAAAAAAAAAAAAAGACAAGACCTAGAAGAGAGACCCAAGAGGTTCTATACCTACCTGTGGGCTTGTACACTGACTAACCTGATGTCCCTTTCCAACTTCCTATCTCCTTGCTTCCTGTGCTATTAAAGTGAGAAAGCAAAATGCCTGAACCCCAGTCTTACTTGCAGTGATGTGTGAAATGAATGACCACATGACACAGCTGGGCTGACCAGTTGCAGATGGAAGTCCCAGGAACACCACACACTCCCAAATGAAAAGCAAAGCCTCAGAGGAGTGTCCCCTTTCCCTCTTCTTTCCAGCTCCAAAATAGATACAATGCCTACAGAGAGAACAGCAATCTTGCAACCTAAAAACAAAACCATACTAAGAATACAGAACAGGAATAAAGAAAAACACTAGCTATTTGCACCTGGATTTCTTGTTACTGAAGCAAAATACACTCCTTACTTGTTGAAGCCACAGTTTATAAAGTGTTTTGTTACCTGCAGCCCATCACATTCCCCATCAATATCCCATTTTATAGGTAAGCCCAAAAGGAGAGAAAAGATGTCATGGAAACAAAGGAATAATAGAAGATCATTTTTAAACTAAGAAAGATTTGAGCCTTCAGATCAAAAGGCCTGACAAGGTCCATGCAATGATGTGGCTAAAAAATTGGCTACCACTGAGAAAGATTTCTAAAATACAAGAGGTATGCCATATTGTTGTTGTTTTGAAGTATACCATTTTTAAATGTAAAAACTTATAATATTTTGGGACCAACATTCTGGAGGGAGCAAAAAATGGAAGAAAGGTAAATAAAAGCCAAATACCAAAGATCAGTCCTTGTTAAGTATAAGATTTTAGAGAATAATTGTTGAAGTTGAAAAAAATGTACATTTTAATGTATTTTAAGAAACTGAAGGTTAGCAGCACTAGCTCAGATAGAGGATACTGAATTGAATCCTCAAACTATGAGAAGAAAAAGAGGTGAAGTTAAGAAAACCAAATAAATCTAATCAATGAAATATAAAATGTAAAAAAAAAAAGGTCTAAACATTGTCAGTGGTCATAATAAATATGAATAAATTAAATACCCTCATTAAGAGATTAAGAATAAGGAAATAATAACAAAAGATAAAGAAACAAAGACATAACAGCAACAACAAAAATCCAGCTATATGATCTTTGTAAACAATCTACCAAAAAATAAAATTATAGAAAAGAGTTTAAAATAAAGAGAGGGACAAGGCACAGACACTAACAAAAATAATACATAAAAGGCAACATTTAACAACAAAAATTCATTGTTACATCATTCCTAGGTACATAAGGAAGATTTACCATGCCATTGTGTGGTTACCCAGAGAATCAGTGGCTAGCGGCTTGCCTAATTTCATAATTAATAACAAAACCAGGGGCACGTGGCTTTTTATTTAAAAAAATAAATCTTAAAAATAAATAAGCAAAAATAAATGTAAAAATTTAAAAATAAAAAGAATATTGCTGTAAGTTTAGTAAACAAGCACAAATGATTATCTGACCTGCCCATGCCCTATAAACACCCACACCTGTACTCTTCAGGGACCTGGATGCTCAAGGTTAACTGGGCAGGGAGCAGGATGGTGTTTGTTAGGGTTACTGAAGACTCTACCAAAAATACCCCGGAACCAGTTTAGAGATAATAAGAAATGTCCCAAATAAAAGAAAAGAGAAACACATTTATATGTTGTCAGTGACGAAGCCTATTACATTGCAGTCCGAGGTTATGACTGTGATAGCTAATGAGCAGTCACTATTTTTTTTTTAAGATTTTATTTATTTATTAGAGAGAGAGAGAGAGAGAGGCAGAAACACAGGTAGAGGGAGAAGCAGGCTCCATGCAGGAAGCCTGACATGGGACTGGATCCCAGGTCTCCAGGATCAGGCCCTGGGCTGAAGGCAGTGCTAAACCGCTGAGCCACCCAGGCTGCCCTGTGCAGTCACTCTTAAAGTGACATAAGATAATCCTGAGAGTCAATAATGAATTGACCAAGAATAAATCTGAAAAATTCAATAAACATAAGTTTGTAAAACAGGATTTTTTTCAAGTCAGAGAATATTGTCCCATAATTTAAAAAGTTACTCAAAATTTATGCTAATGGGTCAATAACATGACAAAAAATTAAAGTTAAGAAGCACAGAGGTCTCCCATACAAATACTAACCTGGCCGTAACCCTGCTTAGCTTCTAAGATCAGACACGATTAGGCATGTTTTGCAGTGGTTGGAGCTAGAGAGCATTATGCTAAGTGAAATAAATCAATAAGAAAAAGAAAAATACATATGATCTCACTCGTATGTGGAATTTAAGAATAAAACAAATGAACATGGGGGAAGGAAAGAGAGAGGCAAACCATAAAACAGACTCTTAACAACAAAGAACAAACTGAGAGTTGATGGAGAGAGGTGGGGTTGGGGGCGGGTTAAATAAGTGATGAGGATTAAATCATGTGGTGTGATGAACACCGGAACACCGGGTGTTGTAAGCAAGTGATGAATCACTAAGTCCTACACCTGAAACTAATATTACACTATGTGTTAACTAACTGAAATTTATTTTTTTAAATTTTTTTGAAGATTTTATTTATTTATTCATGAGAGACACACAGAGAGAGGCAGAGACACAGGCAGAGGGAGAAGCAGGCTCCATGCAGGGAGCCGGATGTGGGACTCGATCCTGGGTCTCCAGGATCACACCCCGGGCTGAAGGTGACGCTAAACCACTGAGCCACCCGGGCTGCCCACTAACTGAAATTTAAATAAAAAATTGAAACTACCAAAAAAAAAAAAAAAAGAAGAAGAAGAAGAAGAAGTGTAGAGGTCATTGAATATCGGAGCTTACATACCTCAGGACAGGACAGCCCCGAATCTCCATCATCTAAGTCCTTTAAAAGTTCAATCAGCCTTTTCTTCTCTCTGTCAGTCATGACCACGGGCTTTCCTGAATTCTTGGCCAACTACAGAATGTATTAATAAAAAAACAGTTCATAGTTCAGGAACATAAAAATGAGACCTGAGACTTCTATAGCACAGATACACCAAGGTAAAATTTTGTGAGATTAGGCATTTTTCATTTGCGAGGTAGTTTTCTTTTATGCCAAATTTTTGCTATAGGTCCATTCTCCAAGCAAAGATATTCCTGCTATAAGCAGGCTCTGGTGTAGCCATTTCCACAAACATTTTATATAAAATATAAAATAAAACAAACATGGGTAGTTTGCAAACTTTTCTTTATATAATATTTGTCAATGTAATAACATATTTGCTGAGATATTTGGAAGGAATCTTCTTGCCACTTCCTATGGGACATCTATCTAGTGAATGAAATTGCTTTTATTTTTTTTTTATCTGTGGCTTTATTTTTAAGCCTTATCACATAATTTGCAAATTTGTGCTGATGATATAGCTCCTCAATTTTAATCCTTCTAGTGTGTTGGTAAAAGCACCATTACCAATCATGCATATATGGTAATTCTACAGTTAGTTTTTGAAAAGCTGCTTAAAAGACAATCCTGAATTATGACTTTGTCTGACTTAGTAAAGAATTCACAAGCAAAGTATGCTACTGTATCCTGTTCACACTGAATTTTAAAACTGTCTGACCTTATAGATTATCTATAATATGTGAGACATGTTAAAATATTCTTGGTTTAATATTATACATAAACCACATGAAAATGCCTTTCATTAAGCAAAAGGCAATATTTTAGATGCAAGGAATTTTAAATAAATTGGCATAGTTAAGACCAAAAAGAGAAAGTGGACATTGCCAGTTTATCTTCAGTCCTTGCCTTTAACAGACTAACGAACACAATGTGAAACACGGCTGAAAAAAAAATAAAAATAAATTAAAAAACACAGCTGTGTCTTGCTGTTCTGTGACATAGTGAAGGGATTTCCTCAGTATGCAAATAAACATAGCAGTTATATAAATCTAAATATAAGCCCCATCACCTACAGGTTTAGAGATGGCATTTTCCATCTCTGTGAAAAGTTGAATATTACCAATCGGTTCCAATCATATCTCTAGAAGGGGAACAGTGACAGCACGTGCTGAACCGGAATTACTATCAAAGTCCCAAAAACTGATCATGTGCATTTAACCACAAGCCAATCTTATTTCAGGCAGGACTGTCCAAAAGATATATTCCATCAGCCATTCATGATTTGAATTTTGGTGTAGGAGATCAATTTAAATACAGTGCACACACAAGAAGTCATGAGACATTTCCAGTTTGTAATAAACAAGGCAGTAGCCAACCACTGTGCCTTTGGAACCATCAAGTCTGTCCTCTCCGCTGTCTTCTTAATACCAAGGAAGATGTTTTTTTTCCCAGGGAAGTACTTCTTGGGATTCTTGTTGTTCTTGTTGGCAACCAGGTAAGAAAATCCGGGGGCCTGACCTGTGTTTTGTCCAAATAGACCATGAAAATTTGGTCCAGTCTTGTGCCTCCCTCCTTCTCCCACCGTATGGGACTGGGCACACTTCTGAATAAAACGCTTTCTGTCCTTCTCACCATCACCCATTTCAAAATTGCTCTTTCGTCGCACGCAAAACAAAGGTGCCCACTTGCCAGCCGAATGTCCCATTCTCTCCTAAATAAACTTACTTTTAAATTTCAAGACTGTCATATTAGGGCTCTGAATAAAGATTCATCTGCTATCGTTAAAAAGAGAAAAGGGGGACGCCTGGGTGGCTCAGTGGTTGAGCGGCTGCCTTCAGCTCAGGGTGTGATCCTGGAGTCCCGGGATCAAGTCCTACACATTGGGTTGCCTGCATGGAGCCTGCTTCTCCCTCTGCCTGTGTCTCTGCCTCTCTCTCTGTTTCTCTCATGAATAAATAAATAAAATCTTTTTGAAAAGAGAGAAAAGGGAAACCCATGGTGAGGCTACTACTGTCTGTGTCAGCAAGAACTCGGATATGGGAAAAACACTATTGCTCTTGGAAAAGTAAATAAATCAACATACAATGAGCCAGCACAGAGACAGATCAAATTGGAGGTTTCCTTCAGATCAGAGGAACTGGAAGAGAAAAAGCGAGAGTTTCAGAGGCCAGTCCTGGCGGTGGCACCCATGGATCCAATCTGCCTGGAAATGATGTGCAGCCGTGGAAGGAGCATCTGGCTTGAACTGCGAAGAATTATTTAACTCTCTCCTCTTGTGAATTAACTTCACTAACTCGTCTAGTAACTGCCAGAGTGGTTTGCCACTGCACCTACATTTCTTGCTATAAATTAATTAATCGACATTCTGATCTAATAGAGGAGCCCTTGGTTAGTCTGTCTAGAGGACACAGTCTGCCTGTAAGACCAAGGTTGAGACCCTAAGGCAGGGAGCTAATCAAGGCAAGAGATAAGTGAAAGGCTTCCTGGAGGCTCAGCTGGAGGGAGCAAGGGACAGACAACCAGTTGGCCTCTCCAGCTCTACCAGGAGCACTTTCCATGCAAATTTCTAAATGCACCACATATATAATCAGTCTCACTACTTTAAAAGGCCTATTTTACTAATAACACAATTTAAAATCTGGGAAACGTGTGAAACTATTATCTAAGCAAATGTTTTTCAAATTGCAGGAACCAGATTAGTTTCTGTGTAGTGAAATAAGTATACTGAATTACAGCTAGCATTTTTAAAAGAGGAGAATAAGATAGGATGGAATAAAAAATAGTGAAGTACTGGTCCCTAAAACTTTTCTTTCAGTTATACATACTGTTTCAGTTACATATATATGTATTATGATCAAAAAAATATTTAAAGACACTAAACACAACTATTTTCATTTCCATAGCTCATTTAATCCCACGTTCTGATTTCTAAATTTTTAAGTACATACCTCAATGTTTCGCTTAATAAAATCTTGGCTGTGTTTACCCCTGAGCTCAATGTTTTCTGTATTTGAAAAAGGTTTCTTTTCTGCTTTGATTAATGAATCGTTTCCTTCCACATCATAAGTAAAATCTAATATTAAAAAAGTTCAAAAGTTTTCATAATTATGTGTCCATTACGATAAAATTTTAAATTAAAATTACATTAAGCATACGTTAAATATATGATATAAAGCATGCATTAAAATATATAAGCATACATTAAGATATAGAAAAAATAAAACATATATAGGGTAACTTCTAAATTCCAAATCCAGAATCCTAATATATATCATTGATTCTTATGGATAAAGATGTGATACACGCACACACGCACACGCACACACACACACACACACACACATGCTAGAATATTACTTGGCCATAGAAAGAAAAAGATCTTGCCATTTGTGACAACCTGGATAAACCTAGAGGGTTTTATGCTAAGTGAAATAAGTCAAACTAAGATAAATACCATATGATTTCACTCATACATGGAATCTAAAAAGCAAAACAGAAAGATGAACGAAAAGCAGAATCAGAGCTGTAAACACAGAGAGCAAAGTGATGGCTGCCAGAGGGAGAAGGGTGAGGAAATGGGCAAGATGGGCTAAAGGGAGTGGCAGATACAGGCTTCCAGTTATGGAATGAGTAAGCCATGGGGATGTAAGGCACAGCACAGGAAAGAGAGTCAGTAGTATTATAACAGCATTGCATGGTGACAAAGGGCAGCTACACTGGTGGTGAGCATAGATTAATGTATAAACTTGTCAAATCACTATGTTATGTACCTGAAATTAGTGTCACATGTGTCAATTATACTCAAATAAAATGAATCAATACATTTATTTTAGTCTTTATATAAAACAAAACTTTCCCTAAAGATAGTCATTTCCTGCTATTCTATTAATATGTTTTCACCCTCTCTGAACAGAAACTTTTTGTTCAAACCTGTCTTTTAAGCAAGGTCTGGGCATAAGTGTCCTGAATGTCTGACATCCTACCTGTGCAAACCCTTAGAGCTCATCTCAGTTTGTCATTTTTTCTCAACCTTTGAAAAAAATCGAGTCAACTTCTGAGTTGTTCAGACCCTGGATACTCAAAACAAGAGTAAGAAAAATACTTACGGACTCTTATTCCCTTTATTAAATATTTTGTTTTCACTGTAGTCACATTTAAAGCATTTAAAACAAGATCATGTGAACGCATCTTTAAAGCTCTAAAAACAGGCATAAAGAAGCATCTTCTTAAAAGACAAGTGATGTCCACCCTACTAAACAGGATAAATTGCCACTTAAAAGTCCAAAAGGGGAAAATATCAGCCAGTAGCTCAATCCAGAGAAGGTTTACTTAAAAGTCATCTTTGTTTTGGAAGAGAGTATGTCAATAAAGAGGATTAAGGGAGCTAATCAATTGGTATATTTATAGCTAGTTATCAAAGATTCAATACAAATTTAATAATTTAAAGAATATATTTTGATAATGATAGTTGGGAAGAACCAGGAAAAGGATAAGATCTCTGGATTTAAATTCTTTTCAAACAAAAATAAATTTGGGTAAGAAAAACGTTCCACTCAAATTTAACTTACAGGTTTCTAGGCAAACAAATCTGTGTTTTATAGTTAGGATTTTATTTCTTTAATCAGTGATGTTTTTTAATCAACTACCAATAGTTAAAGTATAAGTTACTTTTTTGGTGAGTGGCCTCCTTAGATATAAAATATGTAACTTTCTCCTATAAGCCAAGTTGTGTATATAGTCTTTTAAGTTGAAATATGAGGTTATGGGCAACCCAAGTGGCTCAACGGTTTAGCGCCACCTTCCGCCCAGGGTGTGATCCTGGAGACCCGGGATAGAGACCCGGATCCAGTCCCTCGGGCTCCTGGGCTCCCTGCGTGGGGCCTGCTTCTCTCTCTGCTGTGTCTCTGTCTCTCTCTCTGTCTCTCATTCTCTCTCTTTCTCATGAATAAATAAATAAAATATTTTAAAAAAATAAATATGAGGTTATTTGGTTATTTGTCAGGTTTAATCCGATCGGTAGTGAAATGAAATAGAGAGGCCAGGCAAAAGTTGGTCGAAACAGGCTTTTTACGGGGTGCGCTCTCCGGGGAGGTTCCGCGGCCGCAGGGGAGGGCAAGTGGGCTTTTTAAGGGGGTAGGGGTAAGGGGTTGTGTATGTGTACGGGGTGATAGGTATTAGGGCATATTACTGGTGGAATCGGTATGCTTATGCCCTTATTGGGGTCTGGTAAAGTCCAGTTCAGGTTTCCTGCATAGGTCTGGTCTCCCCCTGATGACTGTCCCCAGGCGGTCTGCTGGTGATGGGAAAGCTCTGAGGTGGGGGCAACAAGGTGGGCGGTCCGCCCCCGGTTTTTTTTGGTGCCTCCCAATCCCCCTTGATCCCGCGGGCCCAACATTATTCATTCAGTTTAAGTTTCATATGCTCTTAAACAATACATTAGTGTAACTCAAATGTGTTCATAAATATATTTATGATAGTTTTTTTTAAATATACTTTTAGTAAATTGTAGTAAAAAACATTGAATTGTCTGGTCAGAACTCTTTCACTAGAAATGTCCTCTCCTCCCCCTGGTGGTGATCAACAGAACAAGTTGCCATGTTCCCGTATTAACCCCAACCCTTGGTGAGTTGGATGAATTGGCTAGACCAGGGATAGGCATCTAACCCAAGTTGGATCAGTTGTTGTCTTCTTGCAATTTTGAAATGGAGTCTCCCTCTCAATAATTAATCACAGAATATGCTCTAGGGAATCAAAAAAGGAGTCTACCTCCAGGATTATTTCCATAAATTTTCTTTTTTGCTTAAGCTAGTTTTCTATTACTTGCAGTCAGCTTTTCCTTAACTCTTTGTTATATAAAACTTAAATATCCAAAACTAGGAAGAATAGTATAATAAACCCTCAACAACTAACTTCCACAGTGATGAACTCATGACCAGTCTTGTTTCATCTAGAACCTTAACTTGCTTTCACGAACTATCTCTGGATTAAATTACATCAACTCATTTCATCTGTGACTATTTCTGTATGGAGCTAGTATGTTCTTCTGACAATATGCAAAATCACACAAATTAAAACAAACCTTGATTGTCATTCTGTATATGGTTTTCATATTCTTCTGGAGGGACCTGAGTGTGAAACACTGAGAAAAACGTGTCTTCAAGCTCACAGTGAGTAGGATCTGTAGATTTAAAAAATCACTTGTTCAATACACAAAATAAGAAATCATCTACATGAACAATTGTTTAAAAGGAAGATCTAACATTCTCTGCAATATTCCTCAATCAACTCCACATACAGATTTCTTAAGATGTCACTTCCAGGTAGAAATGACCATCATCTTTATTCATATTAGCCACTGAAACCAACAGCAGAAAATCAAGAGTCAAAAAGCATTTCCCTAGGACTTCCATGCAAGGAGGATGTACAGGTGTGCGCTAAAATATCACATTAACTCTGGAGTTAATGTATCCAAATTCCAACATTCATAATACAGAGAATATGCTCACTGAATAACTTTGTATATTTCTTTTTTCTTTTAGGTCCCCAAATAAAGATTTCAGATATATGGTTTAGTCATTAAGATAAAAGCATGTGTTTAAAAGAGAAAACCAGGAGACTTCTAAGAAGTTAGCTTTGGGACAGCTTTGGGAATTATGCTCTTGGGCCAATACTCATAAAGAAATTAGGAAATTGTGTTTTCAATTCTTCTTGTTTCACTGCAGTTTATTATTAGCTAATATAGACACTGTATATCTGCAAGAAACTGCTAACATAAACAAGTATCCTTTCTTTTTTTTTCCAAGTCTCTATGTCTCAACATGAGAGACTCTGCCAGGTTGTGGCACAGAAAGGTTTTTGCTTCAGAAACATGACAAGTCCTGAGGATATTAGCTTCCACCACCTATCTCTGAAACAAACTTGGGGAGCACCTGGGTGGCTCAGTGGTTGAGTGTCTGTCTTTGGCTCAGGTCGTCACTCCGAGGTCCCGGGATCGGGTCCCTGCGAGGAGCTTGCTTCTCCCTCCACCTGTGTCTCTGCCTCTCTCTTTCTGTGTCTCTCATGAATAAGTAAATAAAATCTTTTAAAAAATAAAAGTAAAAGTAAAATAAATAAATGAATAAACAAACAAACTTGATTCAAGCACCCTCTCAGAGATGATACAGGCAAAGGAAGTTGCCAGAAGATACATTGATGCCAACACACAGAAAACACCGAATTCAAAACATACAGTTCCTGAGAGTAAAAAGAAATGTGTCAATTCCAATTCCCTAATTTGGAATTCATAACAATGTAGCATCATTGGGATTGACATTACAACTTTAATCCTGCACAATCTTTAATGAGTTAATCTAGCAAATTGGTGGTATAAGCCTTTTACTTTTGCGTAAAAGACAAAGAGGTTTAAAGGTCTTTTGAAGTGGTAATATATTGATTTTTTATCCTCAAATTCCAGTTTAATGGTAGTTTCACTCACTTTTACACTGAAGCACCTGGAAAGACACAAAAATATGAAACCTTGCAATACCAGAAACTGTTACAGCAAGGTGATATTTGGAGATAATTTTAACCTAAGGCTACAATTATTCTTGTGTCCCTGTGGCTCTTCACTCATGGTCTCGGCAGTACCCCGTATATTCAGTACCTCAGACAGAAGGTGAGCACACCCCAGAGCCTCTGCATTGAGTTTAAAAAACAAGAGTTTTGGGATCCCTGGGTGGCGCAGTGGTTTGGCGCCTGCCTTTGGCTCAGGGCGCGATCCTGGAGACCCGGGATCGAATCCCACATCGAGCTCCCGGTGCATGGAGCCTGCTTCTCCCTCTGCCTGTGTGTCTGCCTCTCTCTCTCTCTCTCTGTGACTATCATAAACAAATAAAAAATAAAAAAAAAAAACAAGAGTTTTGAAAATCACATAATCACAGGAGCTTAACTACTCAAGAGAGAAAAAAAAGGCATTTTCTGAGTTTCTGAAGTCCTCCTTTAGAAAACTCTTCCTTAGAGTAAAAAAAAAAAAACTGATTACTATAGAAGTAATGGAATCAGAAAACAGTCATTGGGTTAACTGTCATAATGATAAATGATTGGTAAGAATCACCAATGAATGGTGAAAGTTTGAAGAATGACACAATAGCCTCAGAGTATCACCTCACAAGATAACTTACCCAGTACAATAGGAAACCTAGTAACTTTATAGCAGAAAAACCTGGTAGACACCACATTAACCAAGTCATTGAGGTCAACATCAGCAGTTACAGGACAATCGACATCATGCACTTTCTGATAGGATTCACTGAGGACACAGCGGTATTCCTGCCAAAAATGCGTAACTGAATCTATTCTTGGGGAAATATAAACACACTCACGGGGGGGGGGGGGGGAGTCTACAAAATATCAAGCGTATAGTCTTCAAAAATGCCAATGTCATAAAACCAAAAGAATGGCCAGAGACATGACAACTAAATGCAATACGTGAGCAGCGATTTTCTTTTGTTAAAAAGGATTTTAGTGGCACAATTGGCAAAATATGAATAAAGCCAGTAGATTGGACAATAGTATTGAATCAGTGCTAATTTCCTGACTTGAGCGAGCATGCAGATGCGCATATGCATGTGTCCTTTTGTGAAAGGGGTGACAGAAGAGAGACACATCTATAGAGAGACAGACACAGAGACAGAGGAGGATGGGGTACCTGGTGGCTCAGAGGTTGAGTGTCTGCCTTTGGCTCAGGGTGTGATCCCTGGGATCAAGTCCCATATAGGGCTCCCCACAGGGAGCCTGCTTCTCCCTCTGCTGGGTCTCTGCCTCTCTCTCTCTGTGTATCTCTCATGAATAAATAAATAAAATCTTGAAAGAAAAAAGAAAGAAAGAAAGAAAGAAAGAAAGAAAGAAAGAAAGAAAGAAAGAAAGAAAGAAAGAAAGAGGAAAGAAAAGAAAAGAAAAAAGAAAAGAAGAAAAGAAAAGAAAAGAAAAGAAAAAAGAGGAGGATGTGCCAAAACGTTAACACTTGGAGAATCTGGACAAAGGGTTTTTGAAAATTCTTTGTGCTTTTCTTGAAACTTTAAGTCTGCAATTACATCAAAATTAAATTTAATAGGAAAATTTAAAAGATTCCTCTCCTCACTACAAATAATTATGGGAGGGGGGGATCTCCCTTCAGAGCTCAAGAGCCAGAGTTTGAAGGGCTGAGCACATTACAAATAAGAGCCTTCAAAGAGAAAGATTGCAGGATATGATTTAAGTTGTTTCATGCCACCTAAGGACAAAATGAAAGCCTATCCCAGACAGTGGAGAAGGATCTAGAAGAGCATCAGAGGAAATGAATTTAAGGTAGACAAAAGTGACACAAGTGAGGCTGTCCCTGGTATGCATTCTCTTGGGATGTAGTTAAAATCCTAAAATTGGATAGAGACAACTCCCCCCGCCCCCCAAAGAAAATGAGGAAACCCGGAGCAGAGTGCACTCTGCCTCACTGCACACCTGGAACTCTGAAAGGAGACTCCACACACAGTGCTCCACACTTACACATGACAGCTGCAAAGCAGCAATGGCAGTATGCCAGTATGCCATGTTTAGAGGGAGAGAGGGCCTGAAATTCATTCTCTCTCTCTCTCTCTCTCTCTCTCTCTCTCTCACACACACACACACACACACACACACACACACACACATGCCACAGTTCCCCATGGCTGGCCTATGGCATGGCAGATCTAGAAGTTCTCATTCATCCCTGTGAACTAGATGAAGTCCTCCCCCAATGCATATCATTATGCCAACCAAAAATGCACGTATCCCAATGTCCCCTACAACTGAGAACCGTTCTATTAGACTAGAATTTCACTTAATTCAAAATATTGGAACAATATTAATAAATTTCTTTATTACCTTTTAAAATACAGGGCTTATAAAAAATTCTGGAGAACAAGGGAAAGGCATCATCATTTTCCAAAAAACTATTAGATCAATAAGGAAATAACACGGTAACAACTTGTAGAGAATAGAGATAACACCACCTGCTAAAGAATGCACTTTAGAGATAAGGCTATATTCAGAAATAAATTCATAGCAATGATGCTTTTATCATAGTGTTATAGACTGAGCTGTATCCCTCCAAAATGAATGTGTTGAAGCCCTAAGCTCCAGTGTGCCTGTATTTGAAGACAGGCCTTTAAGGAGGTAGTTAAAGCTAAAAAGGGGAACGCCTGGGTGGCTCAGTGGTTGAGCATCTGCCTTTTGCTCAGGGCATGATCCTGGAGTCTGGGATTGAGTCCCACATTGGGCACATTGCGGGGAGCCTGCTTCTCCCTCTGCCTATGTCTCTGTCTCTCTCTGTGTGTCTCTCATGAATAAATAAATCTTTATTTTTATTTTTTTTATTTTTTATTTTTTTATTTTTTAATGAAATCTTTTTTTATAAGCTTTCTTTTTTTGTGTTTTTTTTTTAATTTTTATTTATTTATGATAGTCACACAGAGAGAGAGAGAGAGGCAGAGACAGAGGCAGAGGGAGAAGCAGGCTCCATGCACCGGGAGCCCGACATGGGATTCGATCCTGGGTCTCCAGAATCGCGCCCCGGGCCAAAGGCAGGCGCCAAACCGCTGCGCCACCCAGGGATCCCTAATGAAATCTTTTTTAAAAAATAAAATAAATAAAGCTAAAAAGGTCCCTAGGTGGGGCCCTAATCTAATAGAACTTGTGGCCTTATAGGAAGAGGAAGAGACACCAGAGATAACTTTAATAATCCTTTCCCCACTTCCCTTGCACACAGAGAAAAGGTTATGAGGACATGGTGAGAAGGTGGACATCTGCAAGCTGGGAAGAGAGACCTCACCAAAAAATTAATTTTCCATCACCCTGATCTTGGACTTCTAACCTCCAGAACTGTGAGAAGATAAATTTCTGCTGTTTAAGCCACCCAACCTGTGGAATTTTTTATGGCAGCCCTAGTAGACTAGCATACATATTTTAAGAAAATGAAATGAGCTTAACTAATTTAACTGAAGAAGCTAGAGAAAGCAGTAACAAGGTCAAGAAAAGAAATAATAAAGAAACAAGATAGAATCAGCAAAGACATTCAAAACTGGCTCTTGAAAGTATAAAAGGATCTAATAAAATCTCTAAAAAGATCTACAAGTGGGATTTTAAAAAGAGAAAACACTAATCATAATCAAGATAACATGTTTT